ACATTCTTCACGGAAATAGAAAAAAGAATACTAAAATTCATATGGGGCAACAAAAGACCCTGAATAGCCAAAGCAATCCTAAGAAAAAAGAACAAAGCTGGAGGCATCACAATCCCTGACTTCAAAACATACTACAAAGCAATAGTCATCAAAATAGCGTGGTACTGGTACAAAAACAGACACAGATCAATGGAACAGAATTGAAAGCCCAGAAATAAAACCACACATATATGGACAGCTAATTTTTGACAAAGGAGCTAAGAACATACAATGGAGAAAGGAAAGTCCCTTCAATAAATGGTGTTGGGAAAACTAGACAGCCACATGCAAAAGAATGAAAGTGGACCATCTGCTATTGCCATTCATAAAAACTAACTCAAAATGGATCAAAGACCTGAAGGTGAGACCTGAAACTATAAAACTCATAGAATAGAAAATATAGGCAACACACTAGTTGACATTGGTCATAAAGGAATCTTTTCGGATGACATGCCTACCCAGTGTAGGGAAACTAAAGAAAAAATAAGCAAGTGGGACTTTATCAGATTAAAGAGCTTCTACAAGACAAAGGAAACCAGAATCAAGATGAACAGACAATTTCACCAGCTGGGAGAAAATATTTGCAAAACATACATCTGACAAGGGGTTGATCTCCATAATACATAAAGAACTCTCACAACTGAACAACAAAAAAACAAACAACCTGATCAAAAAATTGGCAGAGGAAATGAACAGACACCTCTCCAAAGAAGATATACAGATGGCCAATAGGCACATGAAAAGATGTTCAACATCACTAATAATCAGGTAAATGCAAATCAAAACAACACTAAGATATCACCTCACGCCCGTTAGAATGGCTATAACCACCAAGACAAAAAACAACAAATATTGGAGAGGATGTGGAGAAACAGGAACCCTCATACACAGCTGGTGGGAATGCAAACTGGTGCAGCCTCTATGGAAAACAGTATGGAGATTCCTCAAAGAATTAAAAATAGAGATGCCCTATGATCCAGCTATCCCACTACTGGGAATCTATCCAATGAACCGGAAATCAACAATCCAAAGAGGCTTATGCACCCCTATGTTCACTGCAGCATTATTCACTATAGCCAAGACATGGAAGCAACCTCAGTGTCCCTCGACTGATGACTGGATCAAGAAGATGTGGTATATATATACAATGGAATACTACTCAGCCATAAAAAAAGACAAAATCGTCCCATTTGCAACAACATGGATGGGCCTGAGGGTATTATGTTAAGTGAAGTAAGCCAGAAAGAGAAAGACAAACACTGTATGATCTCACTCATATCTGGAAGATAAACCAACACATGGACACAGAAAACTGTATTGTGGTTACCTGGGGCAGAGGGGGTGGGGGGTGGGCACAAGGGGTGAAGGGAGTCATATATATGGTGATGGACAAACAAAAATGTACAACCCAAAACTTCACAATGTTATAAACTATTAAAACATCAATAGGGCCGGACCCGTGGCTTAGCGGTTAAGTGCGTGTGCTCCGCTGCTGGCGGCCCGGGTTCGGATCCCGGGCGCGCACTGACGCACCGCTTCTCCGGCCATGCTGAGGCTGCGTCCCACATACAGCAACTAGAAGGATGTGCAACTATGACATACAACTATCTACTGGGGCTTTGGGGAAAAAAAGGAGGAGGATTGGCAATAGATGTTAGCTCAGAGCCGGTCTTCCTCAGCAAAGAGAGGAGGATTAACACGGATGTTAGCTCAGGGCTGATCTTCTTCACACACGCGCAAAAAATCAATAAAAAACAGTCATTTATTTTTTAAAGAGATTTTCTTAAAAATGATAAACTCTTTAAACATATCCAGATGTTTATCATTTTGGTCCTTTCCATGACTTTGTGGGGACCCTCATTTCCCTCTGGCATCATTTCCTTATGTCTACAGGACCACTATTCCTAGTAGTGTGGGTCTGCTTGTGACTAATTCTATCTTGAAGCTTTTGTCTGAAGAAGTTTTTGTTTCATCTTCCTTTTGGAAAAGTGCTCACTGGGCACAGAACTCTAGGGTGAGTTTTCCCTTCAGCACTTTGAAGATGTCCTTCCAGTGTCTCCCAGCTTACACTGTTTTCAGTGAGAAGTCTGCTCTAGTTCTGATTTCTGAACCTCTGCATACAATGCAACTTTCTGTTTTTAAGATTTGCTTTTTAGTGACTTTCAGGAATTTAACTATCACGTGCCTTGGTGCGTATTTCTTGTACTTAGGGTCTGTTGAGGTTCCTGAATCTGCAGGTTTATAGTTTTCATCAAATTAGGAAAATTTCTGCTCAATATTTTTTGAAATACTCCCCCGCCCTACTCTCTGGGACGCCAACCCCTTGTAGGTGAGGCTGCCCAAAGTTGTCCCACAGCTCAGTGATGCTCTGTTGTTGTTTTTTTTTTGTGAGGAGATCAGCCCTGTGCTAACATCCGCCAATCCTCCTCTTTTTTTTGGTGAGGAAGACTGGCCCTGGGCTAACATCTGTGTCCATCTTCCTCCACTTTATGTGGGATGCCGCCACAGCACGGCTTGTCAAGCAGTGCGTCGGTGAGCGCCTGGGATCCGAACTGGCAAACCCCAGGCCACTGCAGTGGAGCATACACACTTAACCGCTTGTGCCACTGGGCCGGCCCCCTGATGCTCTGTTTTTAAAACATACCTTTTTTTAAGAGCAGTTTTAGGTTTTTTTTTAGATTCTTTTTATTCTGTTTCATTTCACATAGTTTCTGTCGTTGTGTCTCCAAGTTCACTAATCCTTTCACTGTAGTGTCTAGTCTGCTGTTAATTCTATTTTTCATCTTAGACATTGAGTTTTTCACCTCTAGAAGATAAATTTGTGTCTTTTCTATCTTTCACGTCTCCACTGACCATGCTCACGTCCTCCTCTCCCTTCTTGAGCATCTGGAATCTAGTTATAACTGTTTTAATGTCTGTGTATGCTAATTCTACCACTGTGTTATTTTTGGGGTTGGTTTCCATTGACTGAAATTTCTTATTATGGGTTGTGTTTTTCAGTTTATTTTTTGATTACATACCAGACATTGTGATTTTTACACCTTGATGGTGCTGGATATGTTTATATTCCTAGAACTATCTTTGATCTTTGTTGTGGGATACGGCTAATCACCTGGAGAGAGCTGGACATGTCTGAGGCTTGTGCTCTCACCTTGTCAGTCTGGGTGGGAGGGGCCTACGTTCCAGGGTTAGACTTGCCTCATTCCTCAGGCAACACCCTCTGAGGACTCTGCCTGAGGACCTGTGAATTATGAGGTCTTCCTTCTCTGGCTGTGGGAACTCAGGATTCTTCCCTCTGCTCTCTCCAGGGGTTTTTTCCCCGACTCAGGTCTTTTCCTTAAAAGTGAGCACCGTGGGTCCTCAGCTGAAAAATCAAGGGGGGCCCTCTGCAGACCCTGCAAGCTTATGCTCTGTCCTGCCTTCCCCACCAGTACTGCACCCTGTGCACTCCATCCATCTTGTCCTGCACTGCCAGGTGCTGTCTCCTCCACTCAGGAGACCACTGGGCTCCCCCATTCTGCTCCCTGGCCTGGAAACTCTCTGAGGGCTGTAAGCTGGGGCAATCACAGGGTACCTCATTTGTCTCCTCCCTCTCAGGTATCACTGTCCTATGACATCTGATGCTCAATATCTGAAACTGCTGTTTCACGCATCTTGTCTGGTTTTTAGTTACATAAACTGGGAAGGTAAATCTGGTTCCTGTAATTCCATTGTGGTTGATGTGTGAAATGCTGTTGAGCTTATCTGCAACCTAGCTAATCCATAAAAAGATAATGTTCTGCATTTAAAAGTATTAAGATTCAGCCCCTCAGGAACATGACCCCCCTCAACAGCCACACCTTCCTCACCTGGCACCCACCGTCAGCATCACAGACCCTCCCTGAGACTCAGGCAGTGGGAGGACCAGTAAATGAGGTGACCACAGAGTTTTGCAGATGACACTGCATCTGTGTCCAGTGAAGACCCCTTTCTACTTTCAGAACAAAACAGACATCAGATATGAAATACACAGATTTTAACGGAAACCTTTTGCTGTTTCCTTTACAAATTTTTCTGTAATTGTGAAGGCATTCCAAAACTATCATTTTTGCATTTTTGAAGAGGGGCTATAAAATGGTAAGAGGGTTTGTAAATATTACACATAATTTAAAAATCTGAATTATTATAAATTTAAAACATGCTCAAAAAAGCAAATTCCAACAGCACAGAATTATAGGTTACAAGCTCCAGCACGGCATGGAGGATTTTTCTTGTTACTGTAAACACAACAATAAGTAAAACCATTTCTATTTTACTTATGAAAATATACCGAGAGCCTAGGACAATACCTGGCACATAATAGGCACTATGTTACTATTTATGGAGTGACTGGATTGTATAAGCAAAAAATAAAATGCCTTTGCGACATTCACAAAGATGACAAATGTTAACAACTTGCTGGGTGTGTATCCTTCCAGATATTTTCTATGCTTATATAATCATATAAATGTGCCTGAGTGTACACAAAAAAACAATTTTTAAACCAAACTATAAGATCACACAAACAGATCTGTGTCTTACTTTACCCCACCCTCTATACTATATTTTAGCCCTACAGATAAATGTATATAAATTTTACACTCAGTCTATTTCATGAATATTTTAGGTTTATTTTAACTGTGATTTTGGGTTATTTGTGAAATACACTCCTCTAATCCTCTAGTCAATTGAAGAGCTAATACATTATCTATTTAAATATATCAAAGTCATCAAAGCAATACCTTGATGGTGGACTGTCTATCGTTTTTGGTGTCTTGTGCATGGTTCCAATTCCCGGTCACTTGGGGACACTGTAAAATGATTTCTTCTGGAAACAACACTTTTAAAACAAGAAAAGGTAAGAAGGTAGACATTACTGAAAAGCTTAAAAAAGAGGAATAGAGGAAACCTAACTGCGTATAGCAATCCTGAAGAAACTCATGTCTATGCACCCCTTTCCCTCTGGCCCTGTCACAGTTACAGCATTAACACCAGTACTGCATACTCTGCAACAAAGATATTTGTCTATTTTTAATTACAAAAATGAATTATATTAAGAAGGGAAAGGCAGAGTGCAATGACTTTATTTTCAATAACCTAAGCATGCTATTTTTACATAGTTGAAATAGTAAGAAAACACTAAAACTCGCCAATAGAAAGAAAAACATTGGATATCACATAGTTTTACTTCTAATATGATTGAAGAGACTGTTTTACACAAAATTTTACATAAAGCCTATAAAAATACCTTGGGAAGATGTAATACTATCATTCCACAAAAATCATACCTTTCACACCTAAGCGGATGACTTGTTCAAGTGCAAAGTGACACCGTCTGCTTGTGGTCCTACCAGAAAAAAAAACAACACAAAATAACTCACTTCAAGCTTAGAAATATTAAGGCTCATACAGGTCACAGAAATTGATGATATTCTCTCCGAGTCAATAAGCTAATGTAACCTTCACAAAATACTTATGAAAAGACTGTCCTGGAGTCAGAGCTTCCACAGTCCTCACAGGCACCACCGGGAGGGAGGCCTAGAAGACTGAGGGGTCACTCTACTGTCTGCGTCCACACAACACATTACATCATGAGGAGTTCATAGAAAAACTTTAAACAGAAATTTCCCACACATCAGGCTAACAGGGACTCCTCCCTTCCTGAGAATATTTCTGTTTTAATGCACAAAGTGGACAAGTAGGGGAAAAAAAGAAAATAAAGTCTATGAAGTGTTAGGGACATACTAATACCACTGCATCAGGAGGAAAGTAATTTTGATTGTAAAGATTCACTCCCTTGAAATTCACTGAAAACAACTGTTAGAAGATAAAGTGAGGCATGTTAAAAATCATAAGATAGACAGTATTTGATCAAAAATTGATTTGAATTGGGCAGCATCCCATCTAGCAGATGGAAAGGAGCCCCAAGGAGCTGTACAAAACGAAGGGCTTTTATAGGCAGAAGGCAGAGGGAACAAAGAGGTCACACCAGACAAAACAGCGGGTTGGTTATTGCAAGGTTACTTCCTTCAGGGGACGGCAGGTCCATCAGGCAGTTACCTGATTAGTGTTGACCCGGTGATTCCCGATTAATGGGTTTTAAGATTCCATTTCTGGGACAGCGGAAACTGTAATTAAGTCTCGGTTTGGTGACATGGGGCTTAGCATAAGCGACTCCCTTGTGGGCCTGTTGTCTTCTTTTTTAACACAACAGAAAGAATAAAAAATGGAAAATAAAACTCCACCTTCACTAAGACAAGATGACCAAAGCTCCAAAGCATAAAGAGAAGAATGTCTGTTCAATAAAGATATCTGGCCCCAAGCAAGCAAACGTACAAGAGCTGATTTACACCGTCTCAGAACTCAAGTCACACACAGATTTCTGGAAAATTCAGACTTGGGCACCTGAAGGACCAACGGACTGTTTCTCACCTGGGTCACCAGGTGCAGGGCAGATGCTCCAAGGTCATCGTCAGGACCCATTTCCACAGCACGGAATCCTGGGTGGGATGTGTGTGTGAAACCGGAAGCAACTGAGTGCACAAGCCCATCCCTCGGAGAACCTCCCCTGAGGGGTCCCTGGCATGGAGGCCCCTGGCAGCCCCACTCTGTCCCTCCAACAGAATCTTCAACAAGCAGTTGTATGGGGTACAATAAACTCCAGCCAAGAAGAGTAACAACCAGAAAAGAACCATCCTAGGACTTAGCAAAATTGACTCTTAAGAAAGAAAAAAAAAATGAAGCAGATCAATTAAAGAGGAAGAAACTGAGACAGGACTTAAAACTCGTCCCCTTCCAGTGAGAGGTTTTCACACCTCTCTGCATGGATAATCTGATGCCATCTAGCCTCTTTTCAAGAGAAAGGAGGAAAGCTTTCAATATGTTTTCAAAGTTACCATAACAAAGACTCCAATATGTGACGAAGATGGTGCCAAGCAAACGAGATAACCTTATCAACCTACAGATCACCACCTGACCTCCGAATAGCATGAGAAACACCAATAGAATATTACCCAACAAATCTCAGAAGCACATTAAAGGAGGAATTCACTAAAATAAAAAAAAATCATGTTTTTCATACTGGGTATACGAGAAATGTTTGATATAAAGTTATATAGTTGAAATACTTCATCTTATGAACAGGCTGAAGAAAAAAAAATCTCAAGAAATGCCAAAAAGGCAATGAGTATGAGAGCTTAAAATAGAAGTCGACAAATAATTCTTTAACGTGATTAATCCAAAGAATGATACTGGCTCAAGACAAGGTTGACATAAGGGAAGCCATATTGTAGAAAAGAAAAACTCTGTTGTAACTTTGAACGACCTCTAACAAACTAACCCAGCTGGATATGCACCCTCCAGGAGGTCAACTGTTCTGTAGATTTTATGACCCCTGCTTGCACATGTACCTCCCAGCTGCGATAAGATGATAACTTTGTTTTTTTGAGTTCCTTAGGAATGTAATGACCCCCAAACAGAGAATCTATGCTGATAGCCATCATCAGTGAAAACTGAAAGATCTGGTGTGGCACTCCCAGTCTGTACCACCAGAAGATCAATATTCCTAACCCCCTCCCCAATAACCCAATGGCCTATATAATTGCTGTAAGATTTTGTGCCCCCTTAAGATGGTTCTTTTGGATGTGAGTAGGCCATGTTCCCTCTTGCTAGCAAGATGTAATAAAAAGTCCTTTTTCTCCTACCACCTTGCCTCTTGACTATTGGCATGTCTTGCGGCGAGCAGAAGGCCCCACGTTGGGTGGTAACAAGGACAGTAAAACACTAAATGGGAAAATACTAGAGGTATTAGCACTAAATTACAAAACAAGACAAAGACGTAAAGGGCTGGAGAACCATGAGAAAAAAATAAAACAGATAGGGTGGGAACTAACATAACAATAAACAAGAATTCCAGAGGAGGACAAAGAAGAGAAAGAAAAGAATAAATAAAAGAAAATTTTCCTAAGTACAAACTATCGTTCAAGAGGAGATTCCTGGGGCCAGCCCCGTGGCGCAGCGGTTAAGTGCGTGCACTCCACTGCTGGCGGCCCGGGTTCGGATCCCGGGCGCGCACCGACGCACCGCTTGTCAGGCCATGCTGCGGCGGCATCCCATATAAAGTGGAGGAAGATGGGCATGGATGTTAGCCCAGGGCCAATCTTCCTCAGCAAAAAGAGGAGGATTGACAATGGATGTTAGCTCAGGGCTAATCTTCCTCACAAAAAAAAAAAAAAAAAAGAGGAGACTCCACATTGTAATGACGCCAGTTCTCCTTATATTTTAACACCACTGTACAAAGATGTAAGAATATTCATTGCTTTACCGGTTGTAATAGCAAAAAACTGGGAACCTAAATGTCCAGCAACAGGAAATTGGCTAAGTAACTTATGTCTTTCAATAGGATAACATTCACCCAGCACTAAACACCCTAAATTACAATCACCCAGCACTAAATTACAAAAGAAGAAAAGCATCAAATCAATGACTTCAACGGAATTCCACCAGTAGAAACTAGAAAAAGAGCAAATGGAACCCAAAGTAAACAGAAGAAAGGAAATAATAAAGATCAGAGCAAAAATCAATGAAATAGAAAACAGAAAAACACTCGAGAATATCAATGAAGGCCCAAGTTGAATCCTTGATAAGGTCAACAAAATTGACAGACCTCTAGCCAGACTGATGAAGGGGAGAAAGAGAAGACACATATCACTAGTACCAGGATGAGAGAGGTGATACAGATTCTACAAGTATCGAAAGAATAATAAAATAAATAATTTCATGCAAATAGATTAGACAACTTGAAGGAAATACACAAATTCCTTAAAAGACACGTCCTATCAAAGCTCACTCAACAAGAAATTGATAACCTAAATGGTTCTTTACCTATTAAACAAATTGAATTTGTAGTCAGAAAGCTTCCCACAAAGAAAACTCCAGACCTAGAAGGCTTTGCTGGTAAATTCTACCAAACATTTAAGGAAGAAGTAATACCCATTCTATACAAACTGTCCCAGAAAACGGAAGAGGAGGGGATGCCTCTCAACTTACTGTGAGGTCAGCATTTCCCTGATACCAAAATCAGAAAAAGATAATTCGAGAAACTACAGACCAATATACTTCATGAACACAGATGCAAAAATTAATAAAATTTTGGAAAATCAGATCTAACAATATATAAAAGGAAATGACATCATGGCCAGGTGGGGTTTATTCCAAGAATGCAAAGTTGATTTTACATTAGAAAACCAATCAACGTAACTGAAAATCTTTTTTTTTTTGTGAGGAAGATTAGCCCTGAGCTAACTTCTGTTGCCAATCCTCCTCTTTTTGCGGAGGAAGATTGGCCCTGGGCTAACATCCGTGCCCATCTTCCTCTACTTTATATGGGACGCTGCCACAGCATGGCTTGATAAGCATTATGTAGGTCCGCTCTGGGATCTGAACCTGTGAACTCCGGGCCGCCAAAGCGGAGCACGAGAACTTAACCACTGTGCCACCGGGCGGGCCCCTGATAATCTTAATAGACTAAAAAAAATAGAACCACATGATCATCTCAATAGACACAGAAAAAGCACTGACAAAATCCCATATCCATTTCTGATTAAAAACTCTCAGCAAACTAGGAATCTATCTCCTCAACCTGACAGAGGGTCGCACTGTACTAAATGATTTAAGACTGAATGCTATACCCCTAAGACTAGGAAACAAGGCAAGGACACTGCTTCTCACCACTTCTATTAGCACTGTGCTAGAGGCTCTAGCCACTCTGTAAGGCAAGAAAAACAAACAAAAATGTATTCAGATAAGAAAGGAAGCAGTAAAACTGTCTTTATTTGAATACATGATTGTATAGGTAGAAAATTCTATGCGATCTGTAAAAAGCTACTAGGACTATGAAGTGAGTTTAGCAAGCTCAAAGGATACAAGATTAATATACAGAAATCAATCCCATTTATAAATACTAGCTACAAGGAACCGGAAATTTAAGTTAAAATTACCACTTACAAGAGCATTAAAAATTTTTTCTTTTTTTTTTGGTGAGGAAGAGTGTCCCTGAGCTAACATCTATTGCCAATCTTCCTCTTCTTGCTTGAGGAAGATTATCCTTGAGCTAATATCTGTGCCAATCTTCCTCTATTTTGTATGCGGCATGCCACCACAGCATGGCTTGATGAGCAGTGTGTAGGTCCATGCCTGAGATCTGAACCCACGAACCCTCGGCCACCGAATTGGAACGCACTAACCTAACCACTATGTCACCGGGCCAGCCCCCAGCATTAACATTTTTAAAGACAAATTTCTTGTGGATAAATTCGACAAAAGATACGCAGAACCTGTATGGTGAAA